GACGTCGCCTCCTCTGAGGTCGGCTCGTCTGATGACGTCGCCTCCTCTGGGGTCGGCTCGTCTGGTGACGTCGCCTCCTCTGGGGTCGGCTCGTCTGATGACGTCCCCTCTTCTGAAGTCGGCTCGTCTGATGACGTCGCCTCCTCTGAGGTCGGCTCGTCTGATGATGTCGCCTCCTCTGAGGTCGGCTCGTCTGGTGGCGTCGCCTCCTCTGGGTCGGCTCGTCTGGTGGCGTCGCCTCCTCTGGGGTCGGCTCGTCTGATGGCGTCGCCTCCTCTGAAGTCGGCTCATCTGACGTAGCCTCCTCTGGGGTCGGCTCGTCCAATGACGTCGCCTCTGGTCTGGCGTCTCCTCCGTCTCCGGTTCCAGTGGTGATTCTGGGGGTCGCTCCGGTCCAGCCTGCGGGGACTTTGTCGCCGGTCCTGCCTGTGTCCCCGGCCCAGCCTGCAGGGCTCCTCTACTGCAGGCGCCGCCCTCCCAGGGCCCGTCGCCTCCTCTTCTGCCCCAGGCGCAGGCCCCCAAGGGTCCGTCCTCATCTCCTCATCTGCCCCAGGCGCAGGCCCCCAGGGGTCCATCCTCGTCTCCTCATCTGCCCCAGGCGCAGGCCCCCAGGGGTCCGTCCTCGTCTCCTCGTCTGCCCCAGGCGCCGGCCTCCAGGGGCCCGTCGCCTCCTCGTCTGCCGCAGGCGCAGGCCTCCTGACTCTGCTGATCCCTGCCGCCTCTCCTGTGGTCCCTCGGTTCCTCTGGGCCCTCCCTCCGGGTCCCCCTCCTCCCGCCCTGCTCCTTGTTCCTGTGGGCGTCTGGGATCTGCCCTTTGGGGGGGGGGGGTACTGTTGCGCCCTGTCCTGTCTTCTCTTAGGTTTTAGTCGGTGTCTCCGTTAATTGCTCCCACCTGCCTCTTGTTTCCCAATCACCATAGCTCCCTCTCCTCGTGTATTTAAACCCCTTCTGTTCTGTGTTCCATGTCGTGTCATTGTTTCAGTGTCCAGCGTGCTTCATTAAAGAAACTAATGGTAAAAGTACCTACCTGTTTTCCTTCTTCCTCCCCGCGTTTGGATCCTTATCTGATCACCGCCTCGCGGCCCGGCACGCTCGTGACACAGATACAGATACCCTAGGCTTACTACAGGTGGCCAGCGATTCTCTAGAACTGTCGAATCACTCAGGATGATCCAGTTTTAAGGTTTTGATGTTATGATTTGCACAGCCAGTCAGAGGCTGACAAGTTTGAGAGATGTTACCAAGTGTAGAACTGGCTGGCTGGTCAAACTGTAGCGTTGTTGTTTATGCTCTTTTATGAAAGAGGAACCATTCTACATGATAATTTGTGATATTAATTTTATTAAATTAATAACCAAATTGTATAGTTTTAAGAAGACTCAAAGGTTGTTTTCATCGATAAACTGTCGATAATATCCGTGGGTCTGTGTTTCAATTCAATGAAGAAAACAAGTTCGACAATTAAAAGTTTTAATTCTTCAAATTAAACTAATGATTTTGAAATTGACAAACAGGAAATAACAATCAACATTGGCAACTTTGTGGGACAATCTTTAACAGTTGATATTGTAAACATGCTCAAATAGACCTTCTGTTGGAGGATGAAGATTGAGAGTGATATGATGTGGTTATGGATGCGTGTGTGCGCAAAGTGTAGTGAGAATTGAACATGAGGTGAGATGAATGCGTGAGTGCATCTGATTTTGCTTCAGGAAGAAACAGGTGTCTGAGTGAAAAGCGATGGTTTGAATAAACTTAGGTTTAGTTGGAAAAGATGCATCAAAACGCTATCTGTCGTGTTCTGTCTCACCGAAAATCGGACCCCCTGTTGGATCCGGGACGCCAGAGGATGTTCATCCAGGTGACACCAGCGGCTGGCAGAGGAGACGGAGGTGTCCGCGGCCCGGTCCAGAGATGCCCTCGGTACACGTCGATGGAAAAGCGTTTTGTCGATGCGTTTGTTAAGTTTAGTTCACTCAGAAATCAAAAGACTCGGGATGAGCCTGCGTTAGAAGTTGCGATTCAGCTATTCTGTCTGGCTTGGCAGGAACAGCGTGGGGGGGGGGGGGGGGGGGGGGGGGGGACGAGCCGATCGGCTCTGTCCCCCCTTTAGCGTTTATTCAGGTCTTCTCTCTTTCGTTGTCAAGCACGAACTGAAATCATAAGACTGAAACTTACCAAAAGCCTTTCTCTTCTCAAAGCAAACGTGTGCGTCAGCAAATGTGTTTTGGAGTTTACTGTGAGAATCTGCGTGTGGGTGTGTTTGAGTGTGTGTGTGCTTGAGTGTGTGTGTGAAGGTCGCTAACAAACATCCTCAAACATTATCTAATTAAGTATGGATTCATTAATCCATTATAATTACCCAAAGCATAAGAATCATTCATTTGATTAAAACACATTTATAATGAGCAAAATGATAATTATTATTCTTTAACATTAAAATAAAGAAAGGAAGTTTTAAGACTTGTTATGACTACATTTATGGGAACAACATCTTCTGTGGGAACAACATCTTCTGGCACGAAGCTGCAGGTGGCAGATGTTATGGTTTCCTCCCAGACTCGCTGGCGTTCAGGTCTTAATCTGTGGGTGAAAGTTCTCAGCGACCCAGCTTTGACCCAGCCGAGTCCAACACCACCTTTGTGACAGAAAACCCATATTTCCTCACGTTACCAAGACAACTCAGAAAAACACCTTCTTGATACAGGATGTTCTGACTGGTTTAAAAGTCTCTATGTGTTGGAGTTTAACTTAACCTTACTTGTTATTGTGTGGGTGCAGATGTGAGGACCTTGTCGTCAAAACATGTTGAACACATGGCAGGTTCTAGTAGCCATAAACATAACATAACATCCATTCAGTGAGCACAGATTAATGAAGCATTTCATTATACTATAATTATTATAAGTAGTAATAAACAAATGTTTATTTAATGATTATCTAGATTACAAGTCATAAAAGAAGTTCATATTGATTTAGAAAATCATTCTTGATTTTAGCAACTGATTCGAGCTGGAGTTGTTCCCTCTGTGGAGGCAGACAGATGGGACCTTGGGAAAGAAAGTTCTTGTTTATCTTTCAGAGCTGCAGAGTCTGTGAGTCCCAGCTGGTATGAAGGCAGGCTCATTTAAAGGGAACACATGCAGTCTTGTGTCTCCTTTCTGACCAGATGTTGAATAGATGTTGAAAGGTCAGACTGTACCTAAACTGACCATTGCTGGACGTTACACCCTTAAAGAGGTACAAAGCTAGCAAACTATTGACAAACTGTTTACATAATTACCCAACACTAGTTACAAAAGCGTAACGAGCAAAAGTTTTCTAAGAGTTCCTAAGGGCAAGCAGTATCTAATTACAAATCACACACAACTACCGTTGATCACTTCTTCTTCTTTGAGGTAAGGCAGGCTGGACGCCCTAGAGGTGTATTGCTGCCCCAACAGTCCATCCTCAACACAATACAAGCTCACAGCTTGTCATACACTCCCACCACTCGCAGGAAGCCCCTGAGTGCCCTCACCCCATATTCAGTATCAGGAGACAGCAACTTGCCCAAGGTTAACACCGACACTCCAGAATCCTACAACATCTCAAAGAACAGCCGCTACTGCTCAGCATACGTCACACAACGTAAAAGCACATGTTCCCCCGTTTCCAACTCCCTGCACTCACACCTCCCATCGAGATGCCTCCCAACTAACCCCTCCTTTCCACCGAAGCCGTCAGCAGCAAGTTACTGCAGCAGCACGTCTGCTTGGCCCTTCCCACGAGACGCGAAGCAGCAGGGGAGCAGCTGTCACCGACAGAGCACGAAGACACGCGACATTAGCAAAATCATGCGTGACTTAGTCAGTAAACACAACAACAAGCAGTCAGTAATCAACCTTTTGTCGTCCATTATGGAAAAACAAAGGAGACCGCTAGCTAGGTGATAACTTTTTTTTAAAGTAAATCAACTGGAAGGCAGTACGTTTCTTTATTCTGAAAATCTCGGGAAGCTTCGCTCCGTTTCCGCGTCCGATTTCTTGTCATTCCTTCCCCAAAAACGTCGAACTTGACCCATTTCAGAGGCGTAGCACATAGAAAATAGAACCAGCGCGTGAGGGCCGCGACATGCTGCTCCTGAGACGCGGCTGACTCGCGCTGCTGACGGCTCTGGTGGAAAAGGTTCTGTTGACCACAGTGGTTCCTATCAGCAGCTATGGCGTGCTGCTGCAGTAACGTGCTGCTGACGGCTCCGTCACGGCTCCGGTGGAAAGGAGGGGTAAAACAACCCATCCCGGAGGCCACAATGCCCCAACTGCAACCTGGCCAGAATTACTGAGTCACGCTTACGCAAGTCAAAACCAGACCCCAAGTCCCCACCAAACACTACAAACTGTAATAGGCCTGACCCTTCCACTCCCCATCTCAAGAGGACTACCAACAAGCCCTCGCCACCTGGTCCACCTCACAGTTAATCTCCGGCCGGCCACAGCCACCAGACCTCCACATGTCAGCCTGCAGGACAGCACACTTAGATTCCTGGTCGGCCAACTCGTTACCCGCCACCCAAACATGAGCAGGCAGCCAAATAACCCTCAAGCAGTTAATCAATGTAAAGACAAATGGATCCTCCATGTTACTTCAAGTCTAAACCTAGATCACACCCTTCTTAGGGCCATCTAAGCCGCTGCCGAATCACTGTACATAACAAAACTACCGGGCAGGCGACTCTCCAGCCAAAACAGAGCCTGCTCGTTAGCCACCAGCTCAGCCTTAAACATGAAAAAACTGTCAGAAATTCGGCATCCAAGTCAGAAGCCCAGCTGGGGGATTGCCAACCCCGCTACCACCCCACCACTCACCAGATGCCACTGATCACAGGATGTCTTCTTGTGAGCTTATGTTCATTTCTCTCTCTCTCTCTCTCTCTCTCTCTCTCTCTCTCTCTCTCTCTCTCTCTCTCTCTCTCTCTCTCTCTCTCTCTCTCTCTCTCTCTCTTCTCTTTTTTTTTCCAGCCTGATGACACTCTGGAACCGTTCTTTGACTCTTTAGTTCGTCAGACGTCCATTCCCAATCTCTTCTCTCTCCAACTCTGTGGTGCAGGCATCACCCAGAACTATTCTCTAGGCAGCTCCATAGTTGGTGGCAGCATGGTGACTCACACACACACACACACACACACACACACACGCACCATATATGACTGACTGTTGTGTCTCTGGTCTGTAGATCATTGGTGGCGTGGACTCGTCCCTCTACGTGGGGGAGCTCTGGTACACGCCCATTCGTAGGCAGTGGTACTACGAGGTAATCATCGTTCGCATCGAGGTGAATGGACAGGATCTCAACATGGACTGTAAAGAGGTAAAGCCGTGTTCAGAAAATAAAGCAGAATTTGATATTGAGGCTGACAGCAGCACTGATTAGTGTGGATGTAACTTTTTTCAGTACAACTATGATAAGAGCATTGTGGACAGTGGGACCACCAACCTCCGGCTTCCTAGAAAAGTCTTCCAGGCTGCAGTCAGAGCGATCGAAGCAGCCTCCTCGGTCAGTGCAGTGGTATTCATGTGGATAATGTAGTTTAGTTGGTTATACCAAAGCAGATAACAGAGTAAAATAGCTGAACTTTCATTGTATTTACTGGACAAGTTCCCGTCCCTCCTCCATGTTTTTCAGACTGAGCAGTTTCCATCCGGGTTTTGGCTGGGGGAGCAGCTGGTATGTTGGCAGGCTGGCACCACGCCCTGGCATATTTTCCCTGTCATCTCCCTCTATCTGATGAGTGAAAACCGCAACCAGTCCTTCAGAATCTCCATCCTACCACAGGTAAGAACAGCTTCTGGTTCTGGTCTGGGTTTGGGTCTGACTCTGACCTGCTTAT